CAAGAAAAATGCCGAGGCCGAACGGCAAAGGAAAGAAATTGAGGCAAAAACGAAGGCCGAATTGGAGGCCAAACAGAAAAAAGCTGCGGAAGTGAAAATGCGGATTGAGGCAGAGGAAAAAGCAAGGGCCGCGGAAGAAGCGAGAAAAAATGCCGAAAAGGAAGCGAAGAGAATGGAGGAGGAAGAGAAAAAGCGAACCGACGTCGAGATAGCGTCGAAGAAAAGTGGTGGCGAAGCCGGAATAAATACGGAGAAAGAAGKAGWCGAAAAGACGGCGGAAGAAAAAACATCAATAGACTCTGAGATGAGATCTGGAACAGAAACCGAGAATAATTTGGACGAAGGGCAGATCGAGGTGACTGAAGGTRAGACAACAGTTGTRTCTACAGCGGAAGTCGAAAACAATATTGATTCACAGAGTGACGAAGTGGAAAATCAAGAGACGAGGAAAGTCAGTATGAAAAGTTCAGATAGCGATGAAAAAAAGGAAGAGCTAGCCGAACTTGAAGCCACAGTYAAGATGAAGGCCGAACTAGAGGCGAAGGAAGAAGTCGAAGAGGAGAAACGGAAGATCGAAGAAGAAGTAAAGAAAATGAAGGCTGAAAAGGAAGCAGCAGAAGCGAAGAAGGAAGAGGAGGAACTCCGTATTCGGGGTGCTTATCTCGATTGGTGTCTTGAGTTTTCCAAGAAGCCAGACAAGATTAGAATGCAGCAATTTAARCAGAACTATTTGATGCTCGAAGGAATTGCAAAAGACGAAGGGAAAGAAATTAAACTMAATGCGTATGCTGATTATACAGCGGTTGAATAYGAGTTCGAAATGAAAGARAAAGAAGAGGCGAAGAARAAGGAACAAGAAGAACGTTTAAAGAGGGAACAAGAAGAAACCGAAGCTGCATTTGCGGCAGCAGGCGCAGAGAATAAGATGGATACCGGCACTGAAGGCACTGATGATATCAAGTTTGACAGATTCCAAAAGCAAAACGAAAGTGAAGAAGTTGTCGTGGGAGCAGAAGAAACAGTTTCAGATGCTGATGAGACAAAGGAACAACCGCAAGAAGAATGGTGGAAACAAGAAGAGGGRTTGGACGAGAGCTTGCTGCAGAAGGAGAGCGGTAGGTGGAGTGGGTTGAATAAAGAWGCCGAGAGTAAATCTGTGCGAGGGAACACTGATATGGGAACTTCCAGAGCAGGGCAAGATGTTGATGCTGACGACCCTCAGGTMAGAAAAAGGGTACGGACCGCATATTCAAACTGGTGCCGAATGTACAACAAAGAGCCGGATGAAGGTAGRTTTCCTAAGTTCAAAAGCAATTATTTGATAATGGAAAAGCTAGCAATCAAGCAAGGAAGAGAAGTTACTCTGAATGAATTCGCTGATTGCACTCCCGATGAGTATGCGAGTGCGTCACGTTCAAAATCTGCAGGTTCTGCATCACGTCCAAACTCTGGAGGTACAAGCACTTTYAACAAGCGGGAACCTCAAAAAGCAAAAGTGAAKCGCGAGATTAATCGCGAGATAAATCAGTCGAAAGCATCTCAAAATGCCGAACCCSAGCTCGTGCGAACAAAGAGAACTGTTTACGTGAGTCGAGAAGATGAGGATGACGATGTTGACCAAGCTGCTTTGATTGCCGAAGTCGAAAGATTTGCGATGCAGAAGGCAGAGGAGGCAGCAAAAAGGGTAGAGCAATTCAGACAGCAACAAGGAATTGCGGGATTTAACCGTGAACGTGCAACGGAAGAAAGGATTAAAAGAGAAAGGGAAGCAGCAAAATCTGAACTTGAGAAGAGGCGAGAGGCAGCTTTACAAAGAGAAGCAGAGTCTATTGCTGGCGCGCAAATTAGCGCGAAAAAGGCAGAAGAGGGAAGTCTCAAAAGAGAGTGGGAAGATACACGTGCAAAGAGTAAAAACCCGTTTCTAGAGAAACAACGATTGCGAAGACTTAGGGAGGAAGCTGAGAGGGAAAAGGAGRCGACAGAGGAAGATGGTTTTTATCAAGCACGTCAAATGGACTCGAGAAATCCATCATTTATACAAACAGATAACTCGCGGTCAAGAGACSACGGCAACGCCACCACACCACCCAAAATGGATACGGAAGAAATGCAGCCCGTTGTCAAACCACCTAGAGCAAATCCAAAAAATCCTTTTCAGCGTAGACCAACTTTTACTTCACCGACGAAGGAGACAGTGGGTTCGAAATCCAATGAATATAGTCCTTTACCTTGGCAGGAGCAGGAGCAGGAGCAGGAGGAAGTGGCATCTTTTCAGCCAAACGGAAGTCCATCATCCGCTTCGAATTTAGTAGATCCATATCGTACCAACGATCAATCTGACGATTCTTCGTCTCATAAACAACCTGACACTGTATCTGATGGATCATTCTATCAAACTACGCCATCATCAACTGACAAAGAAGTTCGTAATGGCTCTTCATTATCAGGTATWGATGACACACCAATTGAAGGGTTTGGCACTTCGTCACCTTTCGTTGACAACTCTCAAGGGACCGTATCTGATCCAAACTCTTCCCCTCAGAGTTCCAACTCTGATAGCATTTCAAACTACGAAGACTCCTACTTCATGAATGTACCTACGAATAGTGATGAAGAGCCTCAATCATTTGACTACATCCAAAAATGGGCAGCTTCCAACCAAGAATTTTCGGATCAGCCGGATGATGCGCGTGATGAACCGTCGGTTGATAGTAGCGACGGTGGTGCGTGGTACGGAAGCGACGAATCGTCGACGACCGCAAGTCAGTCTTCCCCGAATCCTAATCCTTTTGCACGACGAAATCCATTAATGAACAAAGGGGCAAACTACTTAAATAATTTGTCAAGGCAAGATGSATCATCGTTGCCGAATGGAGCCAACGAAGCTGGTTCATCACACGAGGAGTCTTCGCAACAGAGCGCTTCATCTGAATTCCCAGACCGCATCAAGGCTGCATATCGTGACTGGTGTCAATATTATGGAAAGGAGTACAACGAAACTCGTTTGGGTACTTTTTCTTCTAACTTTCTAGCCGTGGAAAGATACCATAGAGAAACTGGGGTGTCTTTGATCTTGAACGAACTTGCCGACATGACTTCCGAAGAGTTCCAACAGAACAGGAATTAATCAAGAATTTATCAGAATGTGGGAAGTGAATAAGGGAGAACAGGGGCAAGTAGTACTAGGTACTAATAATGATCTTTCACGTCATTTATCTTGGAACATGTTGGTCATTTTGACTCGTTTGCTTCATTCGTCCTCGGTGGACACTGCCATCATCATTGGTTATATTTTTGGAATGCATTAAGAGGATTATCTTTTTCCTTTTCAAAGAGACATCCATCACGGGATTTGATCATAAAACATAGAAAATTTATACATAGTTTTAGAATTATGGCCACGAAGGAGTCTCAARAATATAGGAGACATTAGTAACGTCCCTATTAAAATACAGATTTGTGAGGCAAAATCCAACGGGATCTTTGTCTGAACTTCAATCGGTTGTGAAAAATGAGGGAAAAACATTCCTCCAAGCTACCGTGGTAGAAGTAATGACAATCCAGAACTCGCTATTCCAACAATTAACACTGAAYACCATAGTGGCGATAGTCTTAGAATGTAGATATCAATTCCTGTGAACCAAATGAAATATATACTGTATGTTTTATATGTTCTGGTCAAGGACCGGACTTGATTGCACTTCCAAGAATCTGCAACAATGTGTTAAATAAAGACAGTGAGAAGGCAATATTCACTGCAATGCTACTACTATGTGCTAAGATTCTAGTAGTTGCACCAAAAGACAGTATGTACCTGCAAGAGAGCACAATCAAGAGGTCTTCAGCTGAAATGATCACGACATCTTGTTGTGCTCCGTTCCAGGTACCGTACCGGTTACCGGTAGAAGTATCAATACCAGTAGATACGTACTTACAGTTCATACGTATCGGTATGGTTTTGTACAAGCTGGAATCTTTTTTCACAAGTTCAAAATTCGACTCGATAGATCGTTTTTCATTCGTTTCTAACGGAAACACGTGTAATGTATGTTGAAGTGAGGTTTTGTGGCGCCCGTCGTGCGTGTCACATCCAGTTCAAAAAGACACAGAATGAATGAGCTTTTGTTCAATAAGACACGGGTTGATCACTCTGCCGGTACACCCSKWMC